ATGCTGAAAATTCAGTTTTGCCATCGAATAAATGAATATATTTTAAAATATAAAATATCAATAAATTAAAATAGAAAACAGTTATTTTAAATGGTAATAATACTCCACAATATTATGGTTTTGCTGTATTTTAGATCAAATTAATGCAGCATAAAAGACTTCTTTCAAAAACATGGGGAAAAAATTACCAACCTCAAACAATTGGAAATAGCCTTTTGTGGTTTAGCAGTAATATCATGATGCTCTTCTTTTCTAGGTTGTCTATTTTACCAACAGTGGCTCGGAGGCTAATGACCTTGCAGTACTAATGGCCCGGCTTCACTCAGGAAACTTTGATGTCATCACACTGAGGTGATTCACCTTCTTTTTGAACAAATGGAAGATGGCGAGTTCTTGGGAAAGCGGTTGCTGACAGATCAAGCAGCCCCGTACAGCCATAAATAATCACGGCATCATTTGTGTTTGTGTGCTAAGGGGTTCTTATCATGGTGGCAGTCCACAAGCGATGGGTCTGACGTCCAACACACAGTACAAATATCCCGTCCCCTCCTCTATGGGCTGCCATAATGTACATCTCACACCCACACATCTCTCCTGTCTGCTACCTGCTTTATAATGTAATATTCCTCGGAGTCAAGGCCACAAATCGCATTAGAAGAGGAAACATCATAACCTATGTTGGTGTTTTTGTTTAATGCTAAAGTAACAGAATTACTGTCAGACCTCATGAGGTTTGAATAACAAAAAATTATTGTCTTTTATTTCAGCAATTTGTTTAATGATTTGAGTGCCTTTGTAAATAAATAAAAAAATAGGTATTTTTAAAAAGATTCAAAATATGAGTATTGTAAAGCAAACTTGTGTAAGATAAGTCTTTAATATATCTCGAATTAAGTTTATTTTTTCTTAATTGCAAATAGTATTTTAATAGTTTAAGCATAACATTTAAGCTTTATGATTTCAACAAGGTCAATCAAAAAAAATTCCAATAGGATAAAAAAATTAAGTCTATTTCTCAAGTAATGGAAAACAAGCTATAATACAGAATAAGAAAATTACATTTTCAGTATCAACACATTTTGCATGATCATATTTGAAAAGCATATTATAATAGTATGTGTTTGAGTTGTGGAATTTGTCTTGCAAAGCGTTAATATATATATATTTAATTTTTGTTCCTATGTGGGTTGTGTTTATTGTAGACCATGTGTCCGGATGTGTTCAGGGGACTCTGGGGAGGAAGCCACTGTAGAGACTCCCCAGTTCAAACCATCCGAGAATGCAGCTGCTCCCCGGGTACAAACACACATACGTTAGCTTAATGAGGACATATCATAGACTTCTACTGTTTTTATATAAAGGTAATACTCTATTATAAATTCTACAGCCAAACATTAATCCAAATGTTTTGAAAGGGTTAAAAATAAATGGAAAAAAGTGTGTGTGCATGCGTTTTTAATTAAAAGGGTTTAAATTAGAAATTAAACAATGAATGAAACGAAATCTGTGGATTAAATGCAGATGTTTGCTTTCTCAGCAATTTTTCCATATGTCCATATTACTGTAAAGCTGTTTGAATTACCAGTGTATATGAATGGTGGCATAGTCCTATAAAATTGCCTTGCCTACCTGTACTGAAATCTGAAAAATAAAGAAAAACAGTTTCTTCTTCTAAGTAAATTTCACATATAATCAATGATTCCGTTAAATAGCTCAGAACAATGTGTTTAAAATACAAGGTCTGATTATATTAAACTACTATATTAAAAAAGAACCACACAACACATGATCAGAACTTGTTAACTCTTCACTGTAATTAGTGTTTATTGTAGGCCAGCATTACTAAGAACACCCTAGCAACATGTGGAAAACCACTCCTAACATCTCAGCAGACACCCACAAGTTTTGCACAAACAAGCACCACTTGCATTTTTTTCAGAAAAATGTCAAAATCTACTTATTAACAAATGTCAGGCATCATAGATGAATCTCATTCTCTCTGTTCTCAGGTCACTGTCAGGCCAAT